CGCGCGTGCAGGCACCGCCGCTCGCGCAGGACGCGCAGGGGCGCGGCCCCGCCCGCCCCCGGCGCGGTGCGCCGGCACTGCCGCCTGGGCCGCGACGGCGGCTTGGGGGGCGGTCCCCTCCACCGGGAGAAGGTCGCCCGCTCTCACCTCAAGAGGGGAGAGGTCGGCGATCTCGAGCGCGGCGAGCGTATCCAGGAGGTGGTCGCTCGAGGGGAGGGGGGCGTCGAAGAGGCCCGCCTCGCCGAGGGTCGCCAGCACTCGCGACCACGCCGAACCGGTCAGCGCGAATGTCAGCGGGCAAAGAGCGAGCAGCAGCGGGTGGCCCGGGAGCTGCTGCCCCGCGGCGCCCAAGCTGCAGCGCGCGAGAAGGGGGGCCGCGGTGGCGCAAGGGGCCGCCTTGCGTGGCGCCCCGTGGAGCCGGCGGTGGTCGCCGTCCACCCCAAGAACTCGGTGGCTCTTCAAGAAGCGGGGAGCTCTCGGGCATGATCAGAAGCATGGTGGATCCTGTCGGGTCCACCTCGCCACCTCGGCACATAAAAAAGAAAACACCTCTTGATATAGAGAGAACGACGAGAGTAGAGCTGTCAAACGTTAACACTTTGGGCCTAACAGTTGCACTATTGTTGGCTGAAATCCTTAACGTTGTTCAAGTGTTCATCCCAGCCCATGCTGTTACTGTTTGTTACTGTTGTTACTGTTGTTCAGCGGCCAGCAAGCAGAAAACGGCAAAAAACCCGGGTAAAACCCGAGAATACCCGGGATTTTCCAGGTATTTTCGGGTATTACCCGCACTGGACGCTGGAGATCGTCGTGGGTCACTGCCAGGCCTTCCTTATTGTTGTTCAGCCGGCCTAACGTTAGCTACTGTTGTTGGGGAGCCCAATAAGATACACTGACACTCGATCGACCACCGTCACGACCGCCAGAGAGAGCGCCGCGCGCTCTCGGGCCGTCGGCACTCGGACTCGCGACTCGGACTCGGCACCACGCGCAGCAAGTGGGGGACCAAGAGATAAAGCAGTAGCAGCAGACGGTCACACAAGAGAGAGATGTACGTCCCATTACACCTAGATGATTCACATGCAATCTCGCGCGCACGGAAGGTGGTCTCACGAGGTGAGGTCGCCCTTCTCGACGAGGGCGATGTCGGAGGCAACCATCTCTTTGCAGAGCTCCTGCATCGGGATCTTGGGCACCCAGCCGAGCTTCTCCTTGGCCTTGGCCGGGTCTCCGATCAGCAGCTCGACCTCAGTCGGCCGGAAGTACTTCGGGTCGATCCGCACCAGGACGCGCGACTTGTCCGCCTGCCGCAATCAAACGGAGGAGGGGGGAGTACGGTGAATGGCGCGTGGCGTGTTGCGCTGCGCTGCCTCGTACGGAGTGGCCACGCATTCGAGAGCACAGTGTGGAACGGGCCCCGTGTGGTTCGCGCTGTGCTCAGCGCGGGACGGTGGCCCGCAAGTGTGAGTGCACAGGGCAGGTTTGTTTCCGCGGCTAGGCATCCCCACCGCGTCGACGCCGATCTCGTCGACGCCCTCGCCTACACAGGAAGGTTCCGAGAAGGGTCAGAGGGAGGGCTCCGGGCAGGCTGGT